AGGATGTAGGGCCCGTTCAGCGTGAAGGCCGGAAGCGCCTTAAGCGGCCCTGATGCCGGTGATGTCCTCTCGAGAGGCTGAAGGCGTGCGTCAATTGTTTGCATGAAATGCCAGGATGCAGGGTGTTGATCGAGCCATAACCCGGGGCGGCTGCTTCCAAATGGTGAGCGTAAGAGCGAGCCGAGGAGGTTTCATGGGGCCGGCTTCCTTTTCCCTCCCGCGTCCGGATCTGCGGGGTTGCCGGCTGGGGCCGCTGACACGAGCTGGGGAACGCCGCTTGTAGCTTGATCTGCGAGCTTGCAGAGCTGGGAAGAGATAGGCATGGAGCTGGAGTAATGCCCTGCTGCTGTAGTTGGGAAAGGAGGAGATCTGCCACTGCTGCAGGTGAGCTGCTTTGGGATACCGAGCGGCAGCTTGAGGAAGTCGATGCGATCTTAGGTAGCGTGTCGGGCCCGGATCGAAATCCTGCTGAAAGCTGGTCGTGGTCTGAATACTCTGAATCGTACATCTTGAGAATTTAAGAGGTTAGTTTGACAATGCCGTCTGTGTGTTGCGCCGATTCACCTGGAATGCTTGCGTATTGTCACCTGAAATGACAGCTGACAAGAGGGAAGAGCAGATATAAAGGGATTAGCGGGTGCAACGATAGGCTTGTGAGAATGGAGAGAGGAGAGATTGGTTAGCTGGGGAGTGACGCCCCCGATCACTTAATGAGGGAGGAGAGAGTAATGAAGTGACGTGTAATATGAATGAAGAGCTTGGTCTTCCTGATTGAACTTGCGCTAAGCTTCATTAGTTTTTTTACCCTTTACTCTAGGCATTCTCAAGACCAACACTCTTAAGCCAAACTGTAAAATAAAGGTTTTATGTATTCTGGATGTCATTGGTAACTTTTAGCACCGAATGTCGGGAGCACGTTCTTTAAGCAGCCATCGTGTCGCTCACCAAACCGGAAGTCCTAAGATGTATTTTGAAAAGGTTTATTAATAATAGTAATAACGGGGGGTTACGTATTGTAACCCTAGTTATATAAGCACAGGCGGAGCCCTCTACTGGACTCTATGGGTACTACCTTATCCCGCGTGCATTCTCCCACTGAGACTTCTATAGACGTAGCCGGCCTAGGGCGGGCCTACCTGAATGCGCGCGCATCACACCGTATAAAAGGAGGCCTCGCCTCCTGACTATCATCCTATACCTCTCTTCAGCGAGCGGAATAGGACAGACAGTGCCCTGAGTAGAGGGCTCCGCCTGTGCTTATATAACTAGGGTTACAATACGTAACCCCCCGTTATATCTCTCACAGGCTCCGCCCTCTACTGGACTCTATGGGTACAGTGGGTGGAGCCCTGATGTATACGCGCACTGTCGTCCAACACCAATCCACCCTACTGCCCCTGACCGGCTTTTCTGGTAAAAACCCTGTAAAAACCGCGACATCAGTGGTTGATTAAAGGCTGACCTGCCACCAAAATCCCTCATGACAGGACGAGATGGCTGCTGCATACACCTTCACTGTGGAATGCGCCAGCCCTCTGTCCACCAGTAACTGTAAGAAGGATAAAATAGAGCCCAACTCACAAGATAGGGGCTCTATTCCCCGCTCCTCACACCAATGCTGGAATCTCAGCCACTTCAGCCTGTAACAGGCTGTGGTGAATTCTGCTCTAGCTGCCTGGATAGACTGAATAACGCTGTCAGACAATCCACCCTGTCTCAGCCTGTCCCTCTCAGGAGCCAAGCCTGAAGAGGACGGCCCAGAGTGGGTAACGCCCCGATTGCACCTGCCCCTTGAGACATCGCCCCCCAGAACTGGGGGATCGCCCAGGGCTGGCCCACCTTCATCTGTGTCATTTCTGAGTACCACGGAGCCCCGACGCGATCCAGTGCCACCAGAATGACTGCCAGACGTTCTCGCCTCACTCTCCCCAGGAGAGGGAGAATGAGACGCAGCGGTGGAAAGGCGTATAGCAGCTTCCTTGGCCATGGCTCGTGTGCAAACGCGTCCACCCCCAAGGGCGGGTCGTCGCTCAGGGCCATGGAGAACCACAGGGCACAGTGGCTGTTGCGCCGGCTGGCGAACAGGTCCACTTCTGCTCTCCCGAACTGGGCCCAGATCTGCTTCACCACCTCCGGGTGAAGCACTCGCCTGGCAGGGGGCCGCCCCTCGACATGAGGTCGGCCCCTCTGTTCTCCAGTCCCGGGACATGGAGGGCTCCGGAGACCCCCAAAACCGGAGGTTGCCCTCCACTGAGGGGGGGGGGGGGGGATGGTCGCCAGCCGTCGATTGTGCCTCCAAACGCAGGCTGGAGAACCACCTCTGCAGGCGGCACATATGTAGTAACCCCAGCGGGACCACCATGTGAGCAGCCGCCATGAGACACAGAGTCTGTATGACAGTTAAAGCTGTCACTGTTGCCCCCTGTCGCAGCCTGTGCACCGCCCTGAGAAGGGGCGCACGTCTGCTCTCTGACAGGGTGGCGCGTAGCGCGTCTGCATCGAGCACCACTCCCAAATACAACGCCTGTTGGCGAGGTATGGGGGTACTCTTTTTTCCAATTGATCGCAAAACCTAATTTGGTTAGGTGTGTGATCAACTGTGCTGTGCAAAACATTGCCTATTCCCGGGACCCAGCCATGACTATGAGGTCGTCTATGTAAAAGAAAACTCTCATGCCGTTTGCGTGCAGCGGTTGAGGCGCTGTGGCCACACATTTGCTGAATGTTCGTGGGGATAGGGAATAACCGAACGGCAGCCTGTTGTACTCCTAGGCTATTCCCTGGAAGGCAAAACGCAGATACTTTCTGTGCTCTGGAGCAATTTCTACATGAAAGTACGCGTCTTTCAGGTCGATGGTGGTGAACCAATCGCCTGGCTGCACAAGCCCTAGTAACTGTTTCACAGTTAAAATGCGGAATTTCCTGCTGGAAATATGACGATTCAGGCATCGGAGATCTAGAATAGGTCTGAATTCCCCTGTCTTCTTGAAACCAGGAAATACATGGAATAAAGACCCTTCTCTCTGTGCTGAGGCTGCACAACAGACACAGCCTGTTTCTGCACCAGAGCCTGAATCTCTGCTGAGAGGAAACCCACCTCCTCCTGGGAAGACAGATTTACCTCTCGCATGCCCATAAAAGGAGGTGGGACGCTGCAAAACTGGAGTGAATAGCCCCGTTTCAGCGTCCTGTCCATCCACCTTGTTAGTACACAGCTGAGTTTCCATTCCCCATAACATTGTGTTAATGGGCAAGCCCTCAGCTGTGGGGCCGCAGCTATGAAGCTGTGATACTCTCTGATGACCCGCTCCGCCGCAAAACTCCCCGTAAAGGGAAGATTTGCCCGTGGGGGGTCGAAGCAGAAAGGGCCAATTATTTATTGAGGACCCTGAACGCACCACCGTCCATCATAATGCTATTTCCATCACTATGGAAAACAGCATTAACCGGAGCTTTTACAGGCGTAGTGTGTCTTACTAAGGCCCCTGAACGCACCGCCACGCGCCCCTTTACAAGTGCGAGCGTTGCTATAATGCAGCCCCTACCACTATGGTAAACAGCATTATTTGGAGTCTTAGCTTCAGGCATAGAGTGTTTTCTAACAGAAAAACGTCGGTCATAATGTCCCTGTACCCGCATCGCACTATAACAGTGCTGCCTGCAGTTTATCACTCTCATCTGCGCACTCCCACTAGCCTCCTCCCTAACAGGAGCTACAGCTGGGGCGGCGAGTGGGGAATTTGTACAGTCATCAACATGTGCAAGTGTATTGTGGAAACAAAGGACACTCAGACTTGGATATAGATCAACACCATCTTTATTTTAAAAGTTTTGACAGAGATCTGGGCATTAAATAGGCAGTCAACTCCGCGAAGATGGAGCTCCCCACCCGGGTGCTCTGCTGTTGCGGAGCCTGCCTCGGTCGGGCAGCCCTTCCCCGTGACTGCCGGTATGCCGGTGCCACGGGGTGGGCCGTAGAGGTGGATGGCGCCGCAGCTACGGGACCCACATGCCGGCGCCTCTCCCTCCGCTTCACTGTCGCACTACGCTCCCTCCCCTGCATGGCAACGCGAGGGGGGCACGTAGCGGGGCCTGAGGAGGAGCCAGCGGTAGCATGCGCCTAAGCTGGACTCTCTCCTCCTCTAGGCGGCTGAAGCGCTGGGTGACCGAGGAGACCGACCCAAAGAGCCCCTCCGTGGACACGGGGGCTCCGAGAAGATCTTCTCGGTCCTTCTTAGATAGGGCCGTGAGCCCTAGCCACACGTGACGAGACGCCACTGTGGCCAGGGAAATCATCCGCCCTGCTGCGGTGGCCACGCCATAAATCAGATTATTCATCTGACTAACAGCGCGGTCCGAATAATTGCTCTCGTCCTGAGACGGGAGGGCGGGGGCGTCTGCCTGAGGGGTAATCAGGAAGACGCCAACACGCCAAGATTATCGGCCGCAGCCGCCATCTGCGTACCGAGCTTGAACAACTTATCCAGATATTCCAGGTGTCTCGGTCCCGGGGCAGCGGGGGCAGAGGACGTTTACCCTCCGCCCAACCAGCCGCGGAAGCAGATGGGCCGCCAGGCTCTCATCGAGGGGGGGGCACACCTGGACATGTCGTGTCCGAGCGATCCACCACCTTCGTTTTTAATGGCTGCTGCCATGTCGCCTCCACACACCGCCATACCTCTGGCAGCTGGGGCGAAACGAAGGTCGGCTGCGCCGGACGCACCGGGCCGTAAATCTCAGGCGGTTTACAGGCCTCGGTGGCAGTGGTGGGGGGAGCGGTAAGCCTACACGCTCCGCCGCCAGAGTCATCACCGCCGGGAAATCGATCCGCGCAGACCTGAGAGTTGGACCTCCGGTCAGCGAGGCGTCCTCCTCGTCCCCCATCGGAAGAACCGGGACGACGTCACCTCGCTCCCCGAATCACCTACGTCCACGACGTCGAGCTCCAGATCCTCCGACTCCTCCTGCGGGGTAGCCCTCGCCAGGAAGTGCTGCCCACGATGCTCTCGTGTGAGCCCCGGGATCATCTGGCAGTCTGGGCATGTCGACGTCGGGCCCATATTACCCACCGCGTGGTCAGGCCCCAAGGACGTGAAGCAGAAGGGTAATTAGATTCGGGCATTTCGGGCAGGTCCTACACTTTACTCTCTCTTTCTCAATCGTCTCGAAGCTCGTGGAATCACTTCCGCTTGCTGAAGAGAAAAAGGATGATAGTCAGGAGGCGAGGCCTCCTTTTATACGGTGTGATGCGCGCATTCAGGTAGGCCCGCCCTAGGCCGGCTACGTCTATAGAAGTCTCAGTGGGAGAATGCACGCAGGATAAGGTAGTACCCATAGAGTCCAGTAGAGGGCGGAGCCTGTGAGAGATATAACCTGGTGAGCTGGTTGTGTTAAGGCGCACATTTGTACCTGGCAACATGAATGAAGTAAAGAAGTTAAATGTATATCCCCCTCGTATTCACACGACTTTAAAAGCTACAACTTGAGTGTAAAGTTTGTGACGCTCTGTTACAAAAACCTGTCAGTGTTGAGATCCTGCTCCTGTGGTCACTGACATGCTGAGATAAATCAGAAGAGGGAACATCAGCACCCAGAGCTCTACAGCACCTCATATTAAATCAGGGTTATTCATGTTCCTGTATAAACCAGAGACTGTCTGTGGTGCTAACATTATAATAGCTGCTGTTCTGATGACTGGATGGAGTTATTTTGAGTGTTGATGCAGCAGCTATAATGTTAGCCTAGCCTAAATTCCCTGTGAATTGGGTTCAAAGTGCTAAAGTGTACCAGATTAACTCAGCTGATGTTATGAACCCAGACACAAAGCTGTTTTGTTTCCTAATGATATTAATAACTAACCACTATCTACCTTATCGTGATGAAATAGCATCTAGAGTTCCAGTCTTTTTTTTAAATATGAATCTAGAATTTGCCACCTTGTTGTACCTTTGGTGAGAATCAGCTCCACTAATGTAAAGTGCTGTAAAGGATTTGTTCCTCTCCACAGAAGGAAGAGGAAGAGTCCTGTTCCTGTGGAGGAGCAGCCGTCCGGCTGTGCTCTGTGTCAGGACGTCCTGAAGGATCCCGTCTCTACCAGCTGTGGACATTGGTTCTGCAGACAGTGCATCGCCTCATACTGGGAGCAGGGACCTCCATCAGGAGACCCCTCCTGTCCCCAGTGTGGAGAAATATGCAGCATTTTACAAAGTAAGAGGCCGAACACGTTCAGCATCTTTACTGCTGTCTGGGCGCTGGGTGTCTACTCTTCCACAGAAACACTGTATGATCTGATCTCTTCTTCAAGGCTTTGATCTTTAAGTGTGTACAAAAATATTTAGCCATGTTTCATGTTTCCCTAAAAAATGCTTTCTGTCTTACTCTCAGGAAATAGAGAGAAACTAACATAACATTTACGTAAGATAGTAAAGATATCTGCCAGCTAGTATTTGGTATTTCCTTCTGGAGTCTTCATGTCCAGGATTTCCTTCCTTCTTTTTTATTTGTATTTTGTTTGATGTTGTGTTGTAAAGTATGGACATTAAAATGTTTCATAAAAATCATGACATTTTGAACCCTATTTTTTTTTTTTTATTTCATCATCAGATTTTCAAAATAATGTTCTTATTCTCATGTTTCCTTCTCTTCCAGCAGATAGTGGTCTGCAGGAGGTTTTAGATGAACATAGGCTCAGTCTGAGGAGGAGATGTGAACGTGTGACTGAAGGAACTGATGAAAGTGAAACCCTCCTCAACAGGATCTTCACTGAGCTCTACATCACACAAGGCCAGAGTGAAGAGGTTAATACCCAACATGAGGTGAGGCAGCTGGAGACAGCTTCCAAGAAGGAGACCCTCCATGACACTCCAATCAAGTGCCAGGACATCTTCAAAGCCTTACCTGACCAACAGAAACACATCAGAGCGGTCCTGACCAACGGAGTCGCTGGAGTTGGAAAAACCTTCTCAGTGCAGAAGTTCACTCTGGACTGGGCCGAGGGTTTGGAAAACCAAGATGTCAGTCTGGTGATCCCGCTCTCCTTCAGGGAGCTGAACCTGATCAAAGGTGAGCAGTACAGTCTTCTCAGGCTGCTCCATGTTTTCCATCCAACCTTACAGAAGGTCACAGCAGAGCAGCTGGCTGTCTGCAAAGTGCTGCTCATCTTTGACGGCCTGGATGAAAGCAGACTTTCTCTGGACTTCAGAAACAATGAGGTTGTGTCTGATGTCTCTCAGCAGTCCTCAGTCAACGTGCTGCTGACAAACCTCATCAGGGGGAAGCTGCTTCCCTCGGCTCTCGTCTGGATAACTTCCAGACCTGCAGCGGCCAATCAGATCCCTCCTGAGTGTGTGGACAGGGTGACAGAAGTACGAGGCTTCACTGACGCCCAGAAGGAGGAGTACTTCAGGAGGAGATGGAGTGATGAAGACCTGTCCAGCAGAATCATCTCTCACATCAAGAGCTCCAGGAGCCTCCACATCATGTGTCTGATCCCAGTCTTCTGCTGGATCACTGCTGCAGTTCTGGACCACATGTTGACTACAGACCAGAGAGGAGAGCTGCCCCAGACCCTCACTGACATGTACTCACACTTCCTGCTGGTCCAGACCAAGAGGAAGAAGCAGAAGTATGAAGAGGGACATGAGACGAGTCCACAGCAGCTGAAGAAGAAGAAGAAGAAGAAGAAGAAGAAGAAGAAGAAGAAGAAGAAGAAGAACAAGAAGAAGAAGAAGAAGAAGAAGAAGAAGAACAAGAAGAAGAACAAGAACAAGAACAAGACGAGTCCACAGCAGCTGACGAAGGCTGACAGGAAGCTTCTTCTGAAGCTGGGGAGGCTGGCGTTTGAACATCTGGAGAAAGGATACATCTTGTTCTACCAAGAAGACCTGCAGCGCTGTGGCCTTGATGTCACCGAGGCCTTGGTGCACTCAGGAGTTTGTACAGAGATCTTCAAAAGAGAGAGAGTGATCTTTGAGAAAACAGTCTACTGCTTTGTTCATCTGAGCATTCAGGAGTTTCTGGCTGCAGTCTACTTGTTGCACTGTTACACCAACAGGAACAGAACGGTACTGAAGGACTTCCTGCAGGGAGACTATAGCAACAGGTATAACAGAGATCAGGATTACCCATCCCTGGATGTCTTTCTAAAAGGGGCCATGGAGAAATCCCTCAGAAGTAGAAATGGCCACCTGGACCTGTTTGTCCGCTTTCTCCACGGCCTCTCTCTGGAGTCCAACCAGAGACTGTTAGGAGGCCTGCTGGGTCGCACAGACAACCGTCCAGAAATCATCCAGAGAGCCATCAACAACCTGAAGAAGATGAGCAGTGATAAAATCTCTCCTGAGAGGAGCATCAACATCTTCCACTGTCTGACAGAGATGAAGGACCACTCAGTACATCAGGAGATCATAGAGTTCCTGAAGTCAGGGAACAGATCAGAGAAGGAACTCTCTGTGATCCACTGCTCTGCTCTGGCCTACATGCTGCAGATGTCAGAGGAGGTTCTGGATGAGTTGGACCTGAATCAGTACAACACATCAGATGAGGGACGACGGAGACTGATTCCAGCTGTGAGGAACTGCAGGAAGGCCAAGTAAGTCCAGATGTGATTAGCTTTATAAACTAAAGTGGATCAGAAGTTTCATTATTCCAATGAACACTATACAATGTTTAATGTATTAAATACTTTGAGAGCAAAATTGAAATGATCCTAGTTATTATATTTATTTATAAAAATGTGACATTTTAAAGTTTTCTCTTCTCATATTATTTTGAGTGATGGAGTGTCTCAGACGTACAAAGTGTGGACCCAAAAGCAGACAGGGACAGGATTCAAGCACAAAAAGAGTCTTTACTTGATCTGTTGATACAAGATACAGATATGCGGGGATTCCAAAAACACAGGATCAGCAGATCCAGAAAATACATACACTAAAGCTTACCTAACCAAAACTAGAAAAATACGTAATACCTACTACCTGATCTTACCTTTCTATTTCTATAAACGTGGACTATGACTATTACAGTAACTTGATCTACAAAAACGCTGGAGAGCTCGGCATAACACACAAGACAATCTCGCAACGAGACAGAGAATTTATACCTACAGACATCACCAGGTGCAGACAATAATGACCTGACAAACAATCAGCGGGGCGGTAAACAGACAAAGGGAGGAAGTGCACGACAAACACATTAGGACAGACTTTCAAAATAAAACCCAGAAAAACTAAAACATTTAACACGACGCACAACATAGAGGCGACATGTCAAACAAATGAAGGACTTTAGAGGTTTTATCACAGCAGCATGTGATCACACCATACAGCAGTATTTACAGTTATCATTAAAAGCAGTTCAGTTATTAATATATCATTGCAGTTTCATCAACATTAAATCAGATCTGTTTTTACCACAATGCTTAAGAGTTTAAAATAAGATTAGACAGGCTTACAAGGAATATAGAAAACTATTTTTATTCAACGTTGTTCCATCAAATTCAGTAAGTTAATTAAATGTTTCCTCTGTTTTTAAACTAACACCTGTTGTACTACTGTATATGTGTCAATATAGACTTTCTAACTGTGGACTCTCAGAGACTGAATGTGAAGTCGTGGCCTCAGCTCTGAAGTCTGACTCCTCCCATCTGAGAGATCTGGACCTGAGTCACAACGAGCTGCAGGATTCAGGAGTGGAGCTGCTGTGTTCTGGACTAAAGAGTCCAAACTGCAGACTGGAGACTCTCAGGTCAGTTCACTGACTGCAGTTCATATAGATCTGTTTGTATTTATGATTTTCTGAATGCCATTGTTATCATGTTTTTATCTCTCTTGCTAATGACTGAATATTCATCAGAATAACAAAGATCAGAGAAGGTGAATGTGTGAGGGAGAGTGTTTGAGCTTCCACAGACTCACTCTGTGCTCCATGAGTCAGTGGAGATGCTGTCAGTACTGATGAGCTGTGAGGGAGATGAAGGAGATGTTAAAGATCTGAGAGAAACTGCTGCAGAGAGTTCCAGATTATCAGGGATTTGTTTCTAAATCATTGCTGACATTAAAACCTTCTTAATCTCTGAACAGATTATTAAACCTGGAGTTATTTCAAACAGGAACATTGTTTTCTAAAGTTACATCATGTTTTCTTTATTCAGACTGAGGGGCTGCAGTTTGTCAGAGATCAGCTGTTCTGCTCTGGCCTCAGCTCTGAAGTCCAACATCCATCTGAGAGATCTGGACCTGAGTGAGAACGATCTGCAGGATGCAGGAGTGGAGCTGCTGAGAGATCTTCTGGAGAGTCCAGACTGCAGACTGGAGACTCTCAGGTCAGTAAGGGGTCTCTGCTGGTTCAGCAGTATTGTATGAAACACAGGGAGGTGTTTCTCTCACTGGGGAATCACAACAGATCAGTGATGTTACCACTAACTGCAGGCTCTCTCATTCTTCCATCAACTATATAAGACAAGCTGAAAATGCAAAGCCACATTTAGTTAGTTAGAAACTTTCTAACAGACATATAGGATTTTACAGAAGAGTGGAAAAGGTTCTCTGTTTTGTTTCCTGTCATGTTTTTAGTTTCTAATGACTGGTTACTTCCTGTAATGCAGCTGAGAGCTGTGGCAGTCAGTCGTAGTGTTTGCAGAGAAGATATGATGGGATGTAAAGCATGAGATCAGGACTCTGAAGCTGACTCAAAGAACAAACACTTATTTTAAACTGGATCTAAAACTGTTGGGTTGTGTTCATCCCTGCAGGATCAGAGATGATGAGACGATCAGAGCCAAGATCCAGAAGACCTGTGAGTACTGAAACCATATCCTCCATTCATCAGGATATTGAACATTCAATCTGATCTTAAAAGGTCTTTATAGAACAACAACAATATATTTTAATTGCATTTTGTTGAAGCTCTCTCAATCATTTTGGCTGCTAATGTTTCTCTTTTTCAAGTTTCATTATTATTTTTTTTCTGTGTCACCTCTTCTCTCCATCAGGTGACTCCGATGTGGAACAGGAAGTGAAGACAGACAGAAAGGTGAGAGAGGAGCAGTTGTACAGAGTGAAGTGTATTGATTTCACCTCTGAATTCCATATAATTATTAGGGCTGTCAAGTGCTAACTCTTGCAATTGATCTAGAAACCTTAACAATATCCCGCCCCAATGTGCTGTGATTGGCTTTTACTGTGATTGGCTGGTAATACTGTGCTGGGATTGGCTGGTACTGTTGTTGGCTACAGGGTCGTTCATCACTACGTCGCATGTTAACCCGTTAATATCCTGTTTGAAATTGACAATGGACTCAGATGATCCAGACTAATTAGCATAACTTAAAGGGGACCTATCATGCAAAATGCACTTTTGTACGTCTTTTACACATGAATATGTGTCCCCGGTGTTCCAGGGAACTCACCAAGTGTCAGAAAACACAACCCTCTCTATTTTCCTCCATACCCAAATCTCTAAAAAAGGGGCTGCAACGGATCTGATCAAAACTGATCCAGATTTGAACACTGTCCTGACGTCAGGACGGTGGCGCTACGGCTATTGGGCCAACTCCACCAATCAGGAGGAGACAGCCACGGCCATTGCCGTTCGAAAGCGCTGGAGACGCTGTAGTACATATGCCAGGCCTGTAGATGGTGCTGTTCTCACTGAATCAGCCCTTGCTAAAACAGAGCTAAAAAATGTCAAATTGAGCGAAATGAGGCATGGCTAAAATGCATGATCTGTTTGGTATTTTGAAAAAAAAAAAGTATAAATATGCCTTATATAGGTATGGTCCTACACTATATTATTCAAATATAGCATGATAGGTCCACTTTAACTTAATTTCTATTAAAATAACTAACTTTGTTTGTTCCAGGCTCCATACAGGTAATCCTATAACATGACCAAACATTATTTTAAACACATTAAAAATATATATTCATTTAATTGTCTTTAAAGGTCCCATGTCATGGCCATTTCTGCTGATCATAATTCCATTGTTGAGGTCTACTATATTAGATTGACATTGTTCAATGTTCCAAACTCACATTAGCTGCTCATACAGCATCTCAGTATAGTATGTGTATTCACTCTCTGTCCTAAATGGCTTGTTGGAGCTCCTGCCCCCCCCCTCCCTATGAGCCCACTGTGCTCTGATTGGTCAGCTCGCCCACTCTGTTCTGATGAGTCCACCACCGTTACAGCGGAACATCAGTGTTTATGTGTTACAATGGCGTTTGTTAGCAACCAGAAAATGACACCAGTAATGACAAACAGATGAGAATGCTGCGTGGGGTCTGGGTGTCGTGTTGGCGGGACGTTGTGCGGCTCGCTGTTCCACCCTTTGAGACTCGAGGAGCTGACAGTGTGAGCTGGATTACTGGTGTAGTTTCCTGGTTTCTGCGTGGGGTCTGCAAGACAGCGAGACACCGCGAAATTCAGCCTGAGCACACACACACACTTACAGCCAGGCTGAGAAAAGATAAGGCTGAGTAAGTGTGTGTGTGTGTGTGCGGAAATCTGGAGCTGTTACGTCACTACGACCAGGAAGAAGAAAATACAGAAAAGTATCTCCAACGAGGCGTTCTGGGGCAGCATAGACACGTCTTTTCTGTGTTAGATTTGTACTCGCTACAGGGTGTACTTTGAGGGTTTGCGACTTTGCAGACCGTTTACATTCATAAAAAGCTACATAACACACAAGGGGACGGGTAATAACCAGAAAAGCATGACATGGGACCTTTAATTTCATGTCTTTCACCTTGAGGTATTGCATCCAATCTCTTTCCAACAGACATAAATAAAATAATGCCTCTGTGTGTAGGAAGGATTGTTTTCTTGTACCAGATCCTCGCTGGACTAGACATTTAGTTAATTTAATGAAAGTGGACACACACATTCTGACGCATGTGGACACATCTTCAGTGATGTTCCTGTAATCATCAGGTGTTTCAGATCTTTCAACAAACCCTCCTCCAGGTCAGACTCCAGCTGGATGAACACCTGTCAGTCAGAACACAGGCCAGTGAAGGCTTGTTGTAGTAACTTGTCCCCTGTGTGTCTACAGGTTCAGGTGTCCTGGTCCAGGTGAGTTCCAGTGTGCTTCGACTGGCCTGGTGTTCGTCATGGCTCAGGAGGCGGAGCTTCTGTACAGGACGGTCCCTTGGGGGGAGAGCCTCCTCCAATCAGCTGGCAAGCAGGCAGCAGGGCCGCTGTTCGACGTGAAGAGCTCTGTTGAAGCTGCCGTCGTCCAGCTCCACCTGCCACACAGCGAGACAGAGGATGGTAAAGACATCTAGTGTTAACAAATACACACTTATATAATGAGTAGCACCTTATACCATTCACTACTGGTCAAAGGTTATACATTTGCTTTATTAAACTAATTTAACAAAGATAGCAACAGTATAATTAAGAGACCAAATCTGTTCTTTACATTCAAATAGTTTTGTCCCCAAAAGAAGAAGAAAGAAATTATAAAACATCCATTTAGTCGATGTGTTTCATGACATCATTGATCATTATTGAAGCAGACGATGCAATGCAGCTCTAAATACTGAGTTGGATTGTCTTTGGGCCCTCTGCAGTCTCCTCACTGTAATATTAAAGAGATGTAAACTGTGATTGGTCAGTCCACAGCATGCTCAGCTGCTAACAGTGCTAACTCAACGCTAACTCTCTGTTACTGTTGTGATGCTAAGCTAGCAGTTTGAATAATTCTTACTTTGTTATCCATCTGTTGCTCTTTCTGCTCTTCACATTGTCAGTCTGGCTGAACCATGAACAAAACAAAACAACAGACAACAACATTTATAAGTTAGACTTTCTACGCCCTGAAAGCTTTAGAGAACTCTTCACACATCTAGAGAGTCACTCAGACATGAGAGCGGACTCAGTCAAGCTGTTCTGGCTGCAGATTACTAACATCTCAGCAGTCTTGAAGATTAGAAAATAATGAATAAAGTGTATGCATAACAGTAAATGCTCACATCCAGAAAGATCACAGGGGACAGATCAATAATGAAACATTAGAATAAAAGGTGGAGGATATAAACTGGAGCATCCTAGTGAGGCTCCAAAGTGAATGACATTAGATGAACATTAGCTCTGAACTAAAGTGGTGAGACATTGAATATGATGAAGCTGTTTCAGCAGCAAAGCAACAGATGACCAGCTCTTTGCTCCACAGCGCTGCTCCTGGACGGCCTGTTGTCTGTCGTCCACATCACTGATGAAGGCCTGAGCATCTTGGAGCCGCTGGAGGTCACACGCACTCACGTGGTGGTGAAGGTGCCTCACCTCTCTCTCTATGGCCTACTAATCGATACATTGAGAAGGCTTCTAAAACAGCGGATAAATGGCCAAATTCTGGTGTTCCTACGACCCCCGGGCAGAGAGAAGCAAATACTGGATGTATTTTTGCTGCCGAACAACGTCCTCGTGAAGGAGGTAATGTGATCACCATCAGACTAAACTCTGGTTTTAAACCACAGCTGTTTCCACACACACTGCTCCTCTTCTCAAACCTTCTCGTGCTGGGAGAAGATTAAGATCTATCTGAACTGAATATTTTTTAGCGTATATTGCTTGTGCGGATGCAAACTTGTCACCTTTCGGCGAAATTCGCCGTTTTGAATCCAAAATACGTAGTTTGTGTGGTTCATGTAGATCTGCCATACAAATATTTTTGTGGTATGGGGATATTAACAACCAACGTTAATATCTAGGTCGCCTCCGATACCGAGCTCCGGTGCTTATACCAATTAAAACAATGCAAATGTAATATCAAACATAGCCAGAGTCAAATATTAATATCACAGCAGTGATATTACCACATCATCACCGTGGTTGATGTGGTTTTGATTGATATTGAAATATGACATGTGCTCGTCATATTTCAATATCAATCAAAACCACATCAAGCACAGTAACCAATATGAAACTATAGTTTAACCTTAGCAGGGTTTCAATTCCCCTTAATCAATTTCAAGTCCAAATGAACAACTAATGTCAGCCTTTTCCAAGGAAGGGTATTCTTACCTCACTCTAAGACCAAGCAGATACCTTCAGAGACCACGAGAGAGACCAGGAATTGGGTTGAAATGTACAATGTACAAACCGGTTTTATTACGTTTTTAACAAAAATAGAGGATTTACAAGAATCCAAAAAAAAGTTAAACAAAATAAAGATACAAAATAGTTTTACAAAGACACAAGGTCAAAATACCAAAGCAACAGGTTCACAAATGAATCCCCTAGAGCCGTCTAAAAGAGCCCAGGCCCAGGCCCAGGCCCAGGGCCCAAGAGCCAAGACCCAGAATCAAGCTTCCAAAAAGTCCCCCCAAGCTCTCAAGCCCTTCGTTTCTCTTCAATCATCTTTTATAGTCTCTTCCCTCCTCCCTCTCTGCATCAGGTGGTTTCCCCTTTTCTATCTTTGAGGGAGAAGGAGGTCACATATGTTCAACTTTTACTTAATGAACAATTACAAATGTAAAGTTAAAATAAAACAAATAAAGACTCATAGTAATAATATGTCATTTTAACGAGAGCAAATATGCAAACTTTATACTTTAATTTATTAACAGAGACAATAGGGACAGCTTGTCTCTAAGATTCGCTGGCCCAGGAAGTTGGTTCAAATCTTTACCTAGTCCGTCTGCATCCTGTGCTCATTGTCTTCGTCAACCGTTGTAACCGTTGTCAAGGTGTCAAAAACCACAACGCCTTCCTAGAATTGTGGTTGGAACTTTTATGCTTTGCTTGCACCTTCTAAAATGCATAAGGTGCATAGGTCAAGAGTTCAGGATGTTCTGTCTAGTTTCACATGTCTGGTTTCACATGTCTGATAAGACATTATTGAGACATACATCCTTTCCATCAAACCAAATTATAGCCAATTAAAAAAAATGTATCAATGGTAAGCTTAATAGAGGTAGGTGAGTTAAAGGTCAGGTCTGTCACGGCCACTTAAACAGCAGATCTGTCAGCACCCTCTCTTGGCCGTGGCATACTGGAAGGATCGAATGGCGCTGATCAGGGTCAAGGACAATACACATTTATTAGTGCAAGGAACTTTGGACCATCAGGTACCTTATAGGGCAGTCAAATCCTCCGTCCACCGTCTGGCCCCTCAGGCTGGCGGCCCCCTCTCTGCTACCATCACTGGGGAGGGTTACACACTACTCAGATACCTTTACCATCTGCACCTCTTAAAAAACGTTTTCACTATTTGTTAGGCCCAGCATGGTGTTTGACTCCTTGAAAAGGCTTACCTGAAATAGTCAAACATAAGACAAATGTAATTACAATTTGATTGTAAAGCAATACAAAAAAGTCATATTAGTAATATTAGAGTAAGAATCAAAAATAAATTCTTGTCAAAGTTTAAAAAGCACACTTATCTCAAAATAAATGAATATTATCATAATGTCAAACAAAAAAATAAAATAATATAATGATTAACAATCATGTATATCAGAAAACACTTTTTTTCTTAACATGGATATGCACCACTGAGTATCAAAGTGGGTTTAAACAACACAAAGCCTAGTGGCTTAACAGCATTAGCATTCATATATATATTTTTTTCTTTAAATGTACGCGTACAGTTATGTTTAAAATAAATGAAGGTACTCTTAAAGGCACAATGTCAGCAGGTCAGGTCCACAGCAGTTCTGGAGCCCTCTCTCATCTGTGGCCCGTCTGGTCAGCTGCTCTAAAAGATCAGTTTGGAGACACAGAAGTCCTGGGTTGCGGTCGAATAGTCCAAAAATCAGCTCCTAACGTCTAACCCTATCGTCTATCCCTTGACCTCTGAGTGAAACGTCATGGGGTTAAGGGATAGTGGATAGGAGAATTCAAAAGGATTTAGGAGAAGAGACTGCGGCACTTTAGAGAACCGACTGCACTTTCACTATCCGACGTGTTTATGATGCGCCAGCGGACGTCATAAATGTGCGCATGCTGCTGTGGGGAAACTATGGAAACTACAGTTTTCTATCCAGCGGACTACAACATGGATGTTTAATAAGAACGAGGGACTACTGTAAACTCATCTAGAGACTCTGCACCGTGCTCTGATGCTGTTATGCTTTATGAACGGGGACAACAGAGAAACATATTCTTCATGACCAAAGTTGGAATTGAAATAAAAAAGGAAAGTGAAACTTATGCTCGTCACCCTCTCCCTCCGGTCCACATTAATACAAATGATCCCAATACGTATGAGTGTATGAAAAGATCTTAAAATCAATACAAATGTATTTATTATAAACGTTAGTCCTTAACATCTATCACTGTGTATATCATCATTCAAACATCTTTTACAAGTTGAACAAACCCCACACAGCTCAGTAAAGACTGTGAAATGTTGACTTTATTTGATCATTTCAGTAAAAACTAACGTTCATATTTCTCTTTTTGATTATAATACTGATGAACGTTCAAAACAAAGCACTTTGGCAACTTACCACATACGTTTTAAAATGCTTAATACGCACCGTAACTTTCATGATATCATTTCTCGTTCATAATCGGTTGTTTCCGTGAACGGCCAACTGTTGTGTGACGGCAAATGCCGCGGCCGCAAGGCATTGTGGGGCAGCATTTTCTCCTCTCCTTTCGGTTAGGGAGGTCCAGTGGTTCCTAAGCTAAAGGAGGTTATAAAGGAAGTTTGAAACCTCCTTTCCTTTCATTTAGAGAATTCGAACGGCACTTATCATGGCTGCCACTGAGGGACTTCCGGGTCATTTCACTCCGTTAGGAAGGTTCCTAATCTAAATGGACTATTCAAACGCAACCCTACACTTCTTAGCCGGAGGAGCAGAGGTAGACCTTTCCTCCAGCTCCCTAGGACTAATGTCAAAATAATTCTCTACATTTTCTGTAACATACCAGAGAGGTGGTTCCCTCTCATTTCTGCGGAGTCTAAGGCTGCCTTTACACGAGAACGTTTGCGTTTATGCACAGTATGCGTTTTCAAAAAAGTCTTCCGTTCACATGCATTCGTTTCATTTAACGTGTCTGTTCAAACGAGACCGCTGGAAACGCTGTAGTACATATGCCGGGACTGTAAGTGGCGCTGTACTTCCACACGAGACCGCTCGAAAGTGCTGGACACGCTGTAGTACATATGCCGGGACTGTAAGTGGCGCTGTAACTTCCGCCACAAAATACACCAAAAGCAGCGAAGAAGACCCCGGAGCAGCCCGGAGCAATGTTGCCATGGCTACCCTTCTGTTTATGCCCCGCGGTGGATTTAGCAACATGTAGTTCATGTAATTCTCCATGTCCACTTGTTGCTGATGGTTGTGGTAGAGGAGCTGTAGATTTTGCACTAACATCTGTAGCACGGTCGAGCTGTAGATGTTGTACTAACATCTGTAGCATGGTCAGTAGCAGTAGCACTAGCAGCATGCTACAGCAGTGTACTTTTGCGGGGGTGAGCAGCAGAGGTGGGGGAGGCAGGGCTATTGCGTCATCAGACATTATCACAAAATGACCGTATAGAGGCGATCACACGGAGCCGTATGACCCCCCAGAGCACTCCGTTCCCAGATCTATCCACCTTTGGACCCGTTATCGTTTGCGGGGTCCGTTTCTATCATTTTGTTACGGCCTCGTGTGGCAAAAAGGGCTATACGCAAGAGAAACTATGCGGATACAACCCGTATGCGGTTGTATTCCATGCTCTTCTACGGCGGAATATTACTGCCAAAAATCACGTGAGTGAGTCATGTGACTTTTGGCAGTAATATTCCGCCGTGAGAAGAAAAAGTTTTGTACTTGTAAAAAAAAGTGTTGTACTTGTAAAACCTAAGCTGAATTTGTCTCTGAAACATGATTTATTAGAAAAATGTTATGTGTTTGTTTGATAGATACATTTTTTCTTTGCAAAACTAAATGCATTAGTTTGTAGATGGTGTTTTGTATTTGCAAACCACATTGTGTTTGTTAGTGCATTTGTAAAACCTGTTTAGTTTGTTTGTGGAGTTATGGCAGGAAATTAGCTCCATAGTTTTGCCGTATGCGTTCCCGTGGGGCAAGCACCTATGTGAGAGACCCCTCCTAGATGCTGGCAACAAAATGATCAGTTAACTCTTCTCTCTGATATGAGTGTCTATTATTAACCATCCACTCAATAGAACGTCTAGATAAAAGGGGCTGAAGAATTACAAATGTAAATATCACTACATTTTATTTTTAAAGTGGAGCTATCATGCTATATTTGAATAATATAGTGTAGGACCATACCTATATAAGGCATATTTATACCTTTTTTTTTTCAAAATACCAAACAGATCATGCATTTTAGCCATGCCTCATTTCGCTCAATTTGCACTTTTTTAGCTCTGTTTTTGCAAGGGCTGATTCAGTGAGAACAGCACCATCTACAGGCCTGGCATATGTACTACAGCGTCTCCAGCGCTTTCGAACGGCAATGGCCGTGG